ATAACAAACTAATGTTGTGAAGCTATGGATAACATCTCAAATTGCATCCAGTCTCCCTCATTGTAGCTTGTTAGTCCAGCTCCCCCCCAGATCGTGAATTAGTTCACGACCATACTAGCGGGATAGTATGTAACTACCATTGTATGCAGAATCATACAAATTTGCAACAATTCTCAGCCCCTGTGGTAGTATCAAACAAAAGAGTAGGGTAAGCAAGACTCTGAGGGTGTAAGCCCGTCGGGTAGGTCTTGCTTGAACAGCGAAGCTCAGAAGCGTTTATGAGTAAAACCACGAAGACAGGCTCCACTGTAACGGCAAGCAAGGCTAAACCCCGGGCATTTTGATCACCACCCACCTTTGTACCTACCCTAGGTATTTATGAACTACTCCAGGTCAGCTCTTTCACAACATTCGACATATAATTGTACCAAATCCACTTGATCTTGACTCGGCTCTTGCTCCATTTTCGGAGACTTGGAAGAGGAAGATCTTTTGCAATTTTGGCGCAAAAAGCTCCTCCCACAGATGACGAGCAGGGGTCCTAATCGCGTCGCTTTCTGCCTAACTTGGAGGCACACCCCGCCAAAATGTCAAGCTCCAAGACGAAGCTACGAGCTATCAATGATCTCATCAAGAAACAAAAATTCGACGAGGCTGCCGAGGAGGCCAAACAATTCCTAGAAAAAGAGTCCAAGAACTACCAAGGGTGAGTTACCCTCAACAGCTTTCGGCACAACCCCGCCGTCTATTACCCTTCCCCTCGTCAAAACATAGCTAACTTAGGCTGTCAGGCACATCTTCTTGGCTTTTGCCCAAGACAAGAAGAACGACTTCGAAGAAGCTGAAAGAGTCTATCTAGCAGCCACTTCATTGAGGCCTGGAGATGCTCAAGCATGGCAAGGGCTAGTGAAGCTTTACGAGAAATTGGGCACTAAGAAATTAGGACCGTATCAGCAGGCTGTTGTGAGCCTTGCCATCATATTCCATGAAGCAGATGAGCTGTACAAATCTCAGGATGTGGTGGACAAATATCTTGACTATGTGCGTGTCCATGGAGACAAGGTTCAGTATGCCGATGCCCTCTGGATCCAGCTCCCCGAGAGTCCCCTGTACCCGCTATTGGAGGGTCGATTTCCACCACCAGGGCAGACATATGATCGAGTGGCAGGAATTCTAGAAGAATTCGAGAAGAAGCGGATAAACACCCTGATCGGTGAACGGAGAACTCGCCTAGGAGCAAAGCTGAGCGAGGTGACTCTGGAAGTCAAGAGAGAAGTCTACGGCCAGAGCAAGCTGGAAGGCATCTACCGACAACTCATCAACTGGACTCGTGATGATGATATTAGGCGGCAGTATGAAGAGAAACTAATTCACCATTGCTATGAGCGCATGTTGGTCCAACCTCCCGGAGAAGCAAAGGATCAGGAGCGACAGAAGGTCTTTGGCCTTGCCAATGATATGGTTGTCATCAATCATCCATACAAGCTTGCCTGGGAAGTCGCGATAAACTGGCAAGACAAAAAGGAAATCAAAGAGTTCAATGTGGAGTTACTCAGAGGTTATTGCAATTTCTTCCCGGACACCGATCTTTACAAGATCATTACTGCTTTTCTTACCAGTACCTTATCCCCCTTTCCAGAGCCAGAGCCCGAGAATGGCCGGAAAAGTTCAATCGCAAAGGCATCCGAGGATAGTGAGGATGACGACGAGGGAGGCGTTCCTACATTTGTTGTCCCTCTCACCCATGAAGAAAGGCTGAGTATGTTGGTGGAGGGTGTTAGCACCCTTGATTCCATTTTTGGGTACAGGCTTGCTGGTCAATTGTTCGTGCACTTTGGTGAGTACGAAAGTACAGTAGATTTCATGCGCAAAGCACAAGATCTGCTCAAAAAAGAGCAGGCGGCTCTTGGTTGCGAATTCAAAAACACAAGGGATTCATATCTTTTGAGCCTGGGCACAGCTCTTGTCTATTTCCAGTCTCCACGGCATCATGTTGAAGCAAAGGCTCTTTTCGAAAAGGTTTTGGATCATGATGGGACTTCTACATCCGCCCTTATCGGAGTGGGATTGATTTATGAGGAAGAGGAGGAATACGATCAAGCAATCGAGTTCTTCGGAAGAGCACTTGAAAGAGATCCTCTCAACGTGCGTGTCAAATCAGAGTCTGCGTGGGTGAAGGCTTTGAAGAAGGAATGGGAACAGGCCAAGGCTGAGCTGCAGGAGTGCCTCGCTATCCTAGAGGACAATCCTTCCAAGGATCTTCTAGCTGATACGCAATATCGCCTCGGAGTTTGTATTTGGAACTTGGAACCCAGCCAACAAGAGAGAAAACGACGAAAAGGAGACTCCGCATACGCATGCTGGTTGTCCGCCTTAAACAATAACCTCAATCACGCTCCCTCTTACACAAGTCTCGGTATTTTCTACGCAGATTATGCCAAGGATAAGAAACGAGCCCGAAGGTGTTTCCAAAAAGCACTTGAGATATCGCCTTCTGAAGTTGCTGCGGCAGAGCGGCTAGCAAGGTCGTTTGCCAAAGATGGGGATTGGGACAGAGTAGAGCTTGTTGCCCAACGTATTGTTGACTCCGGCAAGGTAAAGCCCCCTCCAGGCTCAAAGAGGAAAGGTATCAGCTGGCCATTTGCAGCTCTTGGTGTTGCAGAGCTGAACAAGCAAGACTTCCACAAAGCGATAGTATCCTTTCAGGCGGCTTTGCGGCTTTCTCCAAACGATTATCATTCCTGGGTCGGACTAGGGGAAAGTTATCACAGCTCTGGCAGATTTGTTGCTGCTACCAAAGCCATTATCAATGCCCAGAAGTTAGAAGAGGACTCGGCTGTTGATATCTCCGGAGACACCTGGTTTACCAAGTATATGCTGGGTAATATTAGGCGAGAACTTGGAGATTTCGACGAATCGATCGTTTTGTACCAAGCTGTGATGGAAACCCACCCTGAAGAGGAGGGCGTCAAGCTTGCGCTAATGCAGACCATGGTTGACAATGCTCTGAGTAGTATCGAGAAAGGGCTTTTTGGGAAATCAGCTGAGCTCGCAACTGGCATCATTGAATTTGCAGCGCAGACTGGTGGAAGTGTTCTGGATGCCTTCAACTTCTGGAAGAGTCTTGGCGATGCGTGTTCGGTCTTTGTGACTGTCCAGAACTTTGCCAAGGATTTACCTCTGGAAAGCTTGAAGACACTTGTTGGCAAGATCTCTCCCGAGGCTTCGACAACTTTCGCGGAAATAGACAAAGTGTCTATCGAATCTCTTACTGACAAGCCGTCTGGAGAAACCGTGAACGTGCTAGACGTGGACTTGGCACGCTGCATCCAAGCGATGATCTTGTGTTATAAACAAGCAATCCACGTTTCGGAGCTTGATCGGCACGCCCAAGCCGTCGGATACTATAATTTGGGCTGGGCCGAACAACGCGCGCACACTTGTCTTCCTGCTGAGTCTCAAAGGACCGCGACGGCCTATATCAAGGCGGCCGTTAGGGCTTTCAAGCGTGCAATCGAGTTGGAGGCGGGCAACTGGGAGTTTTGGAATGCTTTGGGAGTTGTAACGGGAGAGATCAACCCTGCTGTCTCCCAGCATGCTTTTGTGCGCAGTCTGCATTTGAATGAGCGCAACCCGGCGGCTTGGACGAACCTGGGTACACTGGCATTGCTCTCTGGCGATATCAAGCTGGCAAACGAGTCATTCACAAGGGCACAGTCCACTGACCCTGATTACGCTCATGCGTGGCTTGGACAGGGCTTCTTGGCACTGATGTATGGTGATCAGAAAGAAGCCAGAGGTCTGTTCACGCATGCGATGGGAATTGCTGAGGCGTCGTCTCTTCCTACCCGCCACCACTACTCGGCTTCAATGTTTGACCATATTCTCACTGCGCCTCCAGGCCTGAATGTTGCATCACTGATTCAGCCTTTGTTCGCTTTGGACCAGGTCCAAAGTTTGAGGCCCAGAGATGTTACCTTTGGACATCTGTCTACACATTTCCGAGAACGAGTTAGGGACAGTCCCCGATCTGTCGGTCTACTCGAGAAAATTTGTTCGTTAGTCGAGGCAGACTACGAGAAATCAGAATCTGCTGAGAGTTTGGCACGGTTTATAATGACACGAACCGATTTGGCCAGAGCGTACTTAGCTGCTGGGTCATACGAGAAGGCGGTCGAGTGCGGAGATATGGCACTGGGCCTGAGCAGCGATGATGGTGACAGTGAGCTGTCTGGGGAGCAGCGCAAGAAGGCTAGACTGTCGGCGCATATGACGGTTGGTCTAGCCCACTATTACGCGAACAGATTTGACGATGCGCTCAAGTACTTTGAGTCTGCTTTGGAAGAATCAGATGGAAATCCCGATGCGGTCTGTCTTCTCACCCAGGTTCTTTGGGCACAAGGATCCGAAGAAGCTCGGGAAAGAGGCCGTGGAGCCCTGTTTGAGGTGATCGAGGAGAGGCCAGACCATGTACAGAGTGTTCTCTTGTTGGGAGTCATTGCTCTCCTGGATAACGATCCGGACAGCCTGGAAGCCGTCACCGAGGCTCTCGAGTCTCTTCGCACCAATGACAAGGTCACGGCAACGCAGCAGTCACATATTGGAGAGGTACTCCGTGCTATAGCCACACTCGCAGAAGATAAGTCGGAGCAGGATACTACAACTCAGGCACAAACCGACATCATGCTGTTCCCTAATCTCCCTCACGGGTGGTCTGCTCTGACCGAGGCTACTGGAGATGAGTACACGGCACAGATGGCACTAAAGGTTGCACAGAAAGGAATCCCACCACGGGGAACTCTGGAGTGCCATGATCTCACAAAGGCGTATGCCGGGACTGGACTGGCTTCCGATGCCCAGAAGGCGGCGTTCCTGGCTCCCTGGGAAAGCGAGGGATGGGCCTCGCTGGCGATCGCCACTCAAGGCATCTAAATATATTGCTTTTGAAAGAAAATTGCACTGCTAGATTCCTTTGATAGATGGTGGTTGAATAGAAAGTCATGACCAAATTCTTCCATACGCCTAAAACACTTGGAAGGCTACCGTAAAAAGGGGTATCATATTGTTGTGAAGTAAGGAGTAGACTATTAGGACAGCGTGCCTGCTTCTGGTTCATTCATTATTGACGCTGATCACCTCCAATTGCCTCCTTCAACCTCGCTATCCGGGTCTCTGTCCATGTCCTATGCCACGCCTCCACCTTGCCTCCCAGTACTTGACATGTCTCCGGAGTCAGCATCACGGAGCCCCGAGCCACCCGAGTCCCTGCCTTGAGGATCAGCTTCTCGCCGATCTTGGTCTTCCCCACCCCGATCTGGGGGACTCGCCGGAGCTCCAGCCCGTACACCTTCTTCCCGCTGCGGTCCTGGAGAACGAGCCGGTGCGTGGCGTTAGAAGGCGTCGCCCGCTGCTGCGGCTCTCCGCTGCCGTCCTGGTCGGCCGTGACTCTGATGATCTCCCTGCCGCGCGTGCGTTCCCCCTTCTCAACCGACTCGAGCTCCTCGATCTGCTCCCAGCGGCTGAGACTCAGATTCTCAACATCGAGGACCTGGACATGGGTGTCGCGCTGGAGTGACTGTTCGCGCAGGTGGGTGTTCTCGACACCCGCGGGGAAGACGGCCAAGGACGCCGAGTCAAGGGAAGGAGAGGAGGACAGATCACAGGCTAAGAGGCGAGATTTGGCCGTTGCGACAAGAGAAGCCAATGGGGGAGGGGGGTTGCGGGTGGCGATGAGAGAGGTGACAAAGGTTTGAGATGGAGGGGGGAGTGATTGGGAGAGAATAGAGGAGTGTAATTGAGAGGCGAGATCCATTGAGGAGACTTAAGAAACCATTGATAAAGAGCTGGGTAAATTCTTATTGGATTTGAGCAAGCGCCGAATGGAAACGGCTTGAATCTTGCTGTTCAAATATCTATAAATCGATAGAGTATCTGAGGATATATTGATGGTTTACACGCCTTTCTAGAATTTCCTGGTGGAGTATGTGTAGGCCTGACAGGCCTGAATGTCAGGGGTCCTCGGGGTGTAGCGATGACGTCTCAGGGGCCTAATCTTGGGCGCAGGCCGCTAAAAATAGCGGCTCTGGGGAGATCTGGGATTCGCGTGCAGCGTCAGCAGCCCAGAAGCTCCAAACCATCGTGTCAACTTCGTCCAAATTATAGTTCAGCGTCAGACCTTCCCCAGGAACGTTGCATTTATTCTTCTTTCGTCGGTAATCCGGGCACCATGTCTACAATCGCTTCCCCTCGGGACCATTCCACCTCCCGCCGCACGCCGACATCTTCCAACCGCCCCTCTCTAGACAGCCATCGCTCTAACGTGGGCTCTCCTGTCATCAACCAAGGCCCGACCCAACCGCCACCACAACCAGCGAAACGAGCCAATCGAGCTGCCTTACGAGAATACTATAATCTCAGATCCGCATCAGGCCCTCCGAAGATAGAGCTCCCCGATTCCGAAGTGCCCGTCGGCGATATCGATGCAGCCAACTTCGACGCCGACCGGTATGTGCAAAAGGTCATGGCCGAGAGCAGCCTCGCGGAGCTGCTGAGTCTCTATGCGAGGGTTCTGGGAGAAGGGCGCGCATTGGATGCGGAGAAGAAGGCTCTCGTCTACGACAATTATAGCAAACTGATATCTGCGACCGAGACGATTCGTAAGGTGGGTTGATTCTCGCTGGCATGGCTATTTCGTCTCTCCTCAGTCAGCTTTTTTTCTCTTTCGCAAAGCTTACATATGATAGATGCGATCGAGTATGGATCCATTGAACCCCATGGCGTCGACACTCGACCCTGCGATTGCGCAAATATACAGCCAGGCATCTGCGTTCCGAGATTCACTTAGAGAATCCATCCCTTCGCCAGATTCCGAGGAGATGAGGGCGCGACGGACTGTGACACGGCGGCGGCGGACGGAGGAGCTCGCAGTTCAGTTAATGGAGACCCCGGCGAGGATACGCAGCTTAGTGAAGGAGGGCAAACTGGTGGAGGCGAAACGGCAGTGGCTGATGCCTAGGAAGCTGCTGGTATCTTGGAAAGAGCTGGGCGAGGGCGGGGATGACGTCCAAGCCTGCATCGAGGAAGGGGACGCGGCGTTGGAGTCCGCAGCCAAGTCAGAAACCACGAGGTCATCCCCGGACGACAATTAGACTTTTTTGGGGCGTTTCCAGTTAAGCAGCGTTTTTGTGATACCCAATGAATTGCTTCTACTACCTATTGCCTCATGAAAAACGACCTTGGATTGTCATGACCTTGGATGTCTATCCGACCTATCTATAATTCATTTACGTCCAAGATAGTGAACGGGTCTCGGTCATGTTCGCTAACCAAAACCTCAGCCTTGGGCTCTGTGATCCGCAGTTGCTCCTCCAACGCAGGCCGTAGAACCTCCCGCAGGTAACCCCTTTCTGAGTTGCTATGGAAGACTGTGATGAGAGTCTTTCCCTGTTGGATAGCCTTCAAAGCAGGGTGATGGCTTGCCTCGCCAGTAACCAGCAGGTCCACGTCGGCATCCTTCAAAACGTCGGTACCGCTCCCCGCGCAGACACCGAAGCTGCGAACCTTTGTGGTTTCCACCTTGGCGCCCACAGGGCTCGCGATCATGATGTGTCGCAGTCCTCCGAGCTTTTCAGCCAGACGAAGGATGATCTCACGGAGGGGGATGCCGTCCGTCTCCTGGTCGAACTCACCGATGGCGCCGTACCCTGCTGGGGAGTGGGATTCGGGGGCCGTGCGGCAAGGGATGGCCACGGACCTCTTGAAAGAGTGAGAACCGGCAACAATGTCCGCAAGCCAGGTGTTGAGACCCTTGGGCGCGGCGTCTACAGCCGTGTGAGGACAGTAGACGGCGATCCCTGCTCTGGCCAGCCGGAGGAGGGTTGCCTGTTGGGGATCTTTGTTTGTGATAGATTTGAGGCCAGAAAAGATGAAAGGGTCTGGGAATTTTCACAGTTAGTATTTGGGGCGAGACCGGCACAGATTTCGTACGTACGATAGCTGACAATGACGCTGGCACCTTGTGCAATGGCCTCGATAGCGACTTGAAATGTGAGATCATTGGTCACCAGAACCACTGGCTTGGAGTCAAATTCCGAGTTTCCAACAAGAAGACCAACATTATCCCATGCTCTGTCTGCAAGCTCTTCTGGATATCTTTGGATGAAATAAGGTTAGAAAGGATAGCGAAGCGATACAAGACGAATGCCCACTAACAATGTCTTCATGGAATCGACCACGGCCTTTGTGAACTTGGAAGGCTCAACCTGCCAAGCGCCCCAAGCTCCGTTGTCAGCCATGACTTGGGAGGAGGAGTGATTTTCCAGTGAGGTAGAAAGGTCCTTGGGGTATGTTTGAGAGCAGGAGAAGCAAGATCGAGCGAAGATTTGTGGCGGTGGTGTAGCTCTTGGTGTGAGTAGGCGAAAGGGTGCTTGGCGAATTGAAGCTTTGGATAGAAGCTGTTCAGCGCAATACAGTCTATGTATAAGACCAAATCCTCTCATGGCAATACCCACACGAAATCATCCAGCACAGGATTCTCGAGGTGTTTGATTCTGGTCTCGTGCTGGTTAGGTAGGTACTTACATAGTCGACCTAAATGAGGGTCAAAGCTTGCCGTCCCGGAAAAGGCTGAGATCATACTGTGCCAAAACCGGCGTTTTCCACACTGTAACCACCCCGCGACCAATATCTAATCAATCGCAATGCCCCTCCAAGCCGGATTCGCCAACTCCGGGTCGGCTTGAAGGCAAGACATTGAAGCCAACTACAGCAGCAGCACCACTCAGCAGGTCGTTCTTGTCTCCAAGATGGCACAGATCACCGATGCGAGCTTGCGCGAAACCATCACCGAGCGCCTTCAAGCAATCCATGTCGAGGTGACTGACATGTCAGGTATCTCTACCGTCCTCAGCTCTATTCTGATTACCAATAAAGTTCGGGTCCCTGACACATGATTCAAGGTGGCTGCGGCCAAGCGTTCACAACCCTGATTGTATCACCGCAGTTCCAGGGCCTCAACTCTTTGAAGCGCCACCGCCTCGTCAACAGCGCGCTCAAGGAGGAGATCGCCAGCATCCACGCCTGGACGGCCAAGTGCAAGACGCCCGAGGAATGGGAGCGAGATCGGGGCCAAGATGCGCCGTCGTTGGAGGGTACGGTGGGAGGCCAGGTTCAGGGCACAGCGCAGTAACTATTTCCTCTAAATCTTGAGACCTTCACTTAAATCTCTCCGCTACTGCGACCTTCACCGACGACCGAGAGCCCAAAAACCGAATAAATGGTGGACTGGCTGCACGCGGGCCGCCGAAAATAGAAAGACGAAAATAAGGAATAAGGACATCATCTCCATGGTGTTTGGGTAAGACATTCGATAACGACTTTAGTTTACACACAAGCATTTTACGATTTTTGAGGGCCCCAATAGAGCTATATTTGTTCATACAACCTGACCACCGTTCCTGAATATTATGTTTGCGACAAGTCTTCCAATTCGTAGATTTAGAACAATCCAAGGAGATCATCGCTATCCTTCTTGGGAGCTTGTTCTCCAGCCTGACCACCCTGAGCGTTCTGTAGTTGCATTGCTGCCGGGAGTGGCTGAGTCGACGGCTGGCCACCAAAGTTGAGCCCATCAAATCCATTCATCAAATCACCCATACCATTGCTTGGAGCCTGCTGAGGTGGCGCAGCCGTTGATGGTGTCGGGGGAGCGTCGAACATACTCATCATGTCGGCCATTCCTCCACTGGCCGCACCACCCACGGCAGGACTTGCCGTCCTGCTAGGTGTACCGCTGTTATTTTGTTCCTGAGATGCTGGCGCGGCTCCATCAAAGTCAATGTCGAGAAGGTTCTCGATATTGTTCTGAGACTGTGCGCTGCCAGTGCCATTTGCAGCAGCAACCGAAGCCGCAATAGGGTTCTCTGCGGCATTCTGGCGCTGTTCTTGGATAGCTGCGCGTTGGATTTCATCGGCACCGAAACGTCCCTTGCCAACGAACGACTCAGGGGGCTTGTGGTACACAGAGGCCAGCGTCGATAGCTCTGTAAGAAGTTGTTCCAGTAAGGTGGCCGGAAGACTGGTCATGGTCGTCGAAATAGTGGGCTTCTGTGAGAGGATAATGTTCTAAAAAGCGCCTAGTTAGTGCGGAGAGCTTCTTGACTTTCAAATGCATCGACTTACCTTGGCAACATCAAGATCGCCTGACAAGAGACGCCAGTATACATATGCTCTGTCTCGAATATCCGGATTATCGTTTTCATTTGTGGCAGACTGCAAGACCTTTTGCACGAGACCTTGTGTATTGCTTGGCTTTTTTAAGAATAGTTTGACAACCGCTGTAAGAATTTGTAGTTGTGTCTGAGTAGAAATGTTAGTTTTAGCTGGTCAGGGGTGGAGAAGCCGGGTTGAAGATTTGGAGCTTACCTGAGCAAACTCTTCGTTAAATACGTCAACGAAGCTCTCTAGAATATCGGCAGCATTGTTTATCTTCTCGGCATATTCTCCCACAATCCAGATGAGAGCAGCTCGAGCATTTGGCTCGTCTAATTCATCGATATGCTGGCAAAGAGTAGGAATGACACCCTCATAGCCGGGATACTTGCGGAGAATATCTTTAACGACTACAACCACTTCTTGGACAACGTAGTTGACCTTGGTTGCTAGTAGTTCCTCCAAAGCCTGGACGCATTTCGCGCTGGCACTTTCAATCTTGATAGCAACTTGCCCGATAGCTTTGACTGCTCGTCGGACAAAATCCATGTCCACCTCCAGAGCATACTCGGTCAATTCTGCAAGAAGCTGTTCATAGTTCTTCTCGTTTGCTATCCGTACCATAATCTCGAGTTTTTGCAGCTTTACGTACGGTGGGTCGTTATACTTGCAGAAGAACACCCTGAGCTCCTTGCTAAGAATGTCTGGTTTGGCTTGGAGAAGAAGATCGATGTTTCGGAGTGCGACGTACTGCACCTCAGGTGCTGATGCAACCAAGGTAACTAATGAACAGTTAGTGCAGGTCAGGGTAATAGAGCAACAATGTTTTACTGACCTAGAGGGGGAGCCATCTTCTTGAGGTATGATCGAACAAGTTCTTGGCCAATGGCCTTCATGTGAATGAAAACCACCTTGACAGCGGCCAAGACAACGCTGGGGTTGACATGTTGGAACTGAGGGGCAACTCGCTCGCAAATGTGCTCAGACTCCTTGACGTCGGTTGAGTTATAGTCGGCCAACGTGGTGAGAATTGTAACTCGGCCCCATTCGGTACATTCGTTGAGGGCCATGAGAAGTTTCTTGAGTGTTGCTGATGTGACGATTAATGCCCTTGTGTCGGGGGCAGTTTCGTGGATTTCTGACAGGGCCTGAACAGAGTTGGCTACCACCATGGGATTCGGGTCACCAATCATTTCTTGCAGAGTCTCGAGGAATCCATTCTCGATGCACATCGAAGGGTTCAGGTCGAAGAGCTTCGCAACGCAAATAGCCGCCGTTTTTCGTACGTATGGCGATTCGTCTCGCAATGTCTTTCTCAAAGGTTCTTCCATGTAATCCACCATCTTGTCTACCCGAATGCAACCCATCGTCCTGATTGCAAGTGCTCGAATCAAAGGATTCGGATCTTCGGAGTCTTGTACAAAGGTATTCACAGCCAGAATACATAGGTCGGGGTGTGACTTGGCATAATTCCTGGGAACAGTGTTAGCATGCGAGACGAGAAGGAGCTGGAAGCAAAAGGGGCCGCTCCGGTTGGTGACTGACATGAGATAAAGGTAAACGAGCTTCTTCTGATCCAGATCGGCCGTTGCGATATTCTTCAGTACATCTGGAAACAGAGCTGAGACATCTTTGCCCAGAGTCATGGCCATGATGGTTTTCTGGATAGACTCCTTTCGCTCATAGGCATATTGAGAAACCAGGCCTGCCCGGAGCTCAAATGTCTCTCCCTTCCGAGGTACCTGGAAGGCGCCTCTTATGCGATTGACCGCCATCGTGGGTGGTTGTCAGACTGGTCGCGGTGGAGGGGCAGCAGGAATCGAGGTATCGGTGGCTATGAGCTGGTCGGGGCTCAAGAGGTAGGTTGAGGGGTGCGTCTCGCCTAGAGGAAGACTCTGAACCAGTCGTTTCCCAAGTGTAAGGCCAGCGTAGACCACACGAAGTTGGCCAGATCGTGACCAGGGTGTGTCGCTTGGAGTGTTGTAGAGTTGGAGGTTCAGTACCTAGTGTGCCAAGAGCAAGACACCGTTGCCATCCACATGGTACAGGTAAGTAATCCCCCCTACCTTAAGCCGCCTTAATTGGTAGGCTTGCGCCCGAGCACCGCATCACAGGCAATGGGCCAGTTGTTCCAGCTTAGTCAGCCATGAACCATCTCCCTTCTCCACCACTTAATCTCACTACAGCGCCGCCTGAAGATAGCACGTGAGCCTCAAGATGTTATTTCGTTGCCTGGTCCCTTCACCCAATGATACAATGGGGGAATAAGACAAAAATCCCACAACCTGGATCGCCTATCAAATATACAGTATGGTAAGGCTTGGAGCTCTCTACCTATGCCTGTTCACATAATTGATCGGCGCTAGGCAAACTTCCCGAACCTTCGCCGACTCTTCATTGAGGCGAGGACCGACGATGAGGAACGAGAAGTCTCCAGAAAGGCGGTGAGTTCTGATTTCCATTCTCATTTATCCTCTTAGTCTACATTTCTAATCACTCGGATACCGTCTGTCTGCCTAGTTCTACAACGCTGTGCTTTTCATGGGAACCATTGCAGTGTTCAGCGTGATTGCCCAGAAGATGAACGCTAGCAAATAATCAGACCAGGTCCAGTTGGCCTGTGCTTCGACAATGTAAAATACCAACCAAGATCCGGCAACCTGAGGGCAAATTTCACAATGCGGCGACGAGGCTCCTAATGCGTGCTTCACAGTATTATGAATTGTCTGTTTGTCCAAGATTTATCACTGAAATTACTCTTCGATTTCATCAGCTGGCTCCTCTGACTCGTCCTTGGTTGTTGTGCCTTTAGCTTCCTGCTTTCTCCATAATCCAGCAAGGAATTCGTTTGTGCTGGCTTCTTCAATGCTCTTGTCCTCCCTTTTTTTCAGGAACCTAGGAAACCTCAAGCTCAAACCTCTTTCATCGCTCACCAACCCTATTGCTGCTGTGTATGTTGGGCTGAGTGTGATGTCTGCGAAGGCCATCTCCCAAACCTCTTGAGGCTCGAACCAGACGTCAGGGTGCGGGCCAGAATACTCTATAAAGCTTGGTTGCTGCGCTTTTGTGTTCCTAGGCTCACCTGTTTCAGCCCCATCATCATAAAACTCCTTGTTTGCCTTGTAGAATGCATCGGTGAAACCAGATATGCATTTGCACACGACTTCAAGGGAGCCGCTCTCCTCATTGCGTACGGCAAGAAGAATGGGCGACCACCATTTCGCTTTTCGACCCTGACCATGCCACCCTGCCACAGGTATCAAATCGAGCGTATCAAAGCTGGAGTGGTAGTCCTTCTTGACCTTGAGCCATGACTCTAGTCGCTTATCGGGCTCATATGTGGCAAGAAGCGGCTTCCTGCGACCTTTGGTTTTCTTTTCTTCCCCGTCTACATCGCCTCCAGCTGGAGCCTTCTTCTTTTCTGATTTCTCACCCTCATCAAGAGTCGCCGGATCTTCTGGGGCATTGGCGCTTTTTCCTGCAACAGGGTCGATAGCCGAGGCAGATGAATTATCTAACATTTTGACCATAATACCCTCACATTTTTCTTCCGTGGCTGACTTGAAGAAATCGAGTACGGATTCTGAATCCTGGGACGTTGCGTCAAAACTCTTCACCCAAGTGAAATGGTGGGGGACTTCAATGAATAATGATCGGAGTAGTTCTCTCCGCTCGCGGAAAGGCCGATCAAGTAACTGCTGCCCATTCAAGAACATTAGGTCGAAAGCGAAAAGGCAAACGTTGATAGAGATAGCACCCATTGAGACATCCTTGCGTGCCCTGTTAGACAGGGTTTGAAAGTTCTTCAAGTTCCCCGTGGAATTATCCACAGCAACAACTTCACCTTCCATGATGAAGCTCTCGACTCCATCGCCTCGTATCTTTGGAACCAGTTGGACCAGGTCGGGATATTTATCTGTCATGAGCTCCAGATGCCGAGAGAATATTGACACTTTTCCATCCTTGTCACAATGAACTTGCGCTCTTTGGCCGTCGTATTTGTATTCGCAAGCAAAGTCTCGCCCCTGTAATTTTATAAGCATCTCGGACAAGTCTCGAGTGATGCTGCCTAGCATAGGGCGGAGTGGTATGTGTAGGGCCAGCCCACATCGAAGCGATAGCTCCCCCGTGACCCCGATCTCTAATAGAACCGGTATCAAGTCATTGTAGTTTGGCCGCTTTGCGAAACAGGCCTTCACCATTTCTTCTGATTTGCCCCAAACCTCGGCTAATTCCTCTTTCTTCAATTTGGATAGCTCGTTGGTTGATCTCGAGGGGAAATCAGCACCGGGGGGCTTTGAGAGCAGAAATGCCCTTGACAATGCTATAAGCATGGTTGTTTTGACAGCCCCGATGCGAAGCTGGAATCTGCGTGTCAGCTTGGTTTTCTCAAGAGCGCTGAGTGTAGGGATTTACATGTTGACACAGAGTCCTGACGATGAATCGACTCTCTTCACCACCTTGGGCATCCTGTAGCAGACGGTCCACAATTCGCTGCTTTGCCTCCCCGCTGCCCTTTCCTTGGCTGTTTGCAATGCTGACTAGGCTCTTGTAGACGTTTTGGATAGTGAGCGGTTTCGGTTTCCTCAAAGTGAAGCTTTGCTTTTTCTTTGCTTCAAATGCAACATCACCAGCATCACCGTATTTGTCATATAGGGATTTGAGTGACCTGTTGTCTAAACCGCACGCTTGCCTGAGAGCCTTGGATAACATCGACCCCCCTAGTCCTAATTCCAATGAAATATATGCAGGCGAAATAGAATTTGTTGCCAGCCATACCTACGCATATTAGACAAAGTTGAATGTTTGTGTTTGGCATCCCACTTACAGCTGGTAACAAGCTCGAAGGGTCCCCTTCTATTAGAATTCGCAAGCAGTTGACTAGTGTGTCTACTATCTTTATCCGACTCCTCGTAGCATTAATGAGATAAAAGCATCGAGTGAGCAGAGCATAGGTTGCATGTCCTCCTTCAGGAGCCCAAGCCTCTTGTAGCGAGCTAATATACTTGGTGGTGTCGAATGTCAAAGGCGATTCATCTAAAGGAATAGAATATGTTACAGAGTCCTCGGTCATCCTGGTGGGCTGCAGTGTCAAGGTCTTCTTTAAAGTAGCCTCCGATCGCCCCGGAGCTACCGCTTTGTTTACTTCATCGCTCTTGAGATCTTCATCTTCTTTCAGCGATTCTTGTTTGCTGATTTGAGTTCCATCGGACGCTTGAGTCGTAAAATCCTCTTCTTTGACTTGTGATTTCCCTTTGAGCTCTTCTTGAGCTACCTCTTGATTCCATTCAGCTTGAAGTTTACGGGCCAGCTCCTCATCTGTGAGTTCGACTTTATTTGACGTGCCACCTGCTGAGGATTTTTCATCAGATCTAGAAGGACCCGAGCTCTTTTGCTTAGAGAAGAAGTATTCCAACCCCTTTGCAGGAACAGACGATGTTTTAGAACCATTATTGAGCTTCCGCTTCTTCGCTGGGCTCGACATGGCGAAGGGCGGAGAATGATCAGTGAGGGAGTGATGCTGGAAACGAGCTAGGAAAACGGCGGAAAGAGGATTCGTTGTGCATCCTCTTTATTTCGGCAAAATTTCACGATAAATACACGTTTACTATCGGTAGTTGATTATGATTCATTACATATCCCCTTCCAAGTTGAACATGACGACGGTTCACGCGAAGCACGTGACTAAGCAATGCATGAATCAAAGGGGCGGAAAATGTGACTTTCCGGCAAAACCCCCTCCCTGATCGCCCACAACCAGCTAACCACACAACATATCGAAATCTCTCCCCTGCCCCACCATCGCGAACTTCCCCTTCGACACACCCCGACACCATCTCCCCAATACCGCCACAATGAACGGTGAAGACCCGCCCGAGCGACCCGAATACATCTCCGGCATCATCAACGGCCTGGAGCGCTACAACCCTGAGGCTGTTGGCACACTGGAATCCTACTTGCAAGAGCAATGCGAGCAGAAGTACACTGATAGCAATGCCAACCGCACGCTGCTGAAATTGTGAGTCTTGGACGAGCCTTGTTGAACTGCCGCGATTTTTTGCGTTGGATTTATATTTTTATGATGACTTAATGTCAACGTTTCCTATTACCTGAATGCGATATATATAATCGTATTTTGAAGTTACCTTTAGTGTGTCTGAATGCATGTCATGCAATACTCTTAACCCTCTTCTCCTTCATGCGTGGTATGAGATCGCGAGATTCTGACCATTATTGAAACATAGGTACCAGCTCAACCCCGACAGACTCAAGGATGAAGTCGTCACCAACAGTCTCGTCAAGGCTATGACACAGTTCCCTTCCCCTCAATTCTCGCTCGCCCTCCACCTCATCAACCCCTCCGCCGCCAACGCGGGCGAGCTCCACGAAGCCCTGAGCAAGCTTCGCACGCTCAACTCGCAGCTCGAGGGCGCACAGTACTCCAGCTTCTGGGCCACCCTTGACGGCGACGACCTGTGCGCCGATCTCATCGCCGACATCTCTGGCTTCGAGGAGACCATCCGTCACCGCATCGCCCAACTTGTCTCCCAGGCGTTCCGTGAGATCAAGCTGAGCCACCTCGAGGCTTGGTTAGGGCTGAGCGAGGACGCCACCAAGAAGTTCGTTTCGGAGGTTGCTGGCTGGTCCGTGGAGGCGGATGGATCCGTCAAGGTGCCCTCGAACCCCGAGAACGAGGCCAAGAAGGCCGAGATCCGTGAGGATGTCAGCGTCGAGCAGTTCTCAAGGGTAATCAGGAGATCTTGGGAGGAGGTGGTATGAATGCTACGAGATGGAGGTGACTTATGTTCATGACGTCGTATGATGCAAGAGGATAAGGCATGAATTAGGAAGGGAAAAAAATTCACCATGGCGTTTATATATATACAGGGCATGTCATTGGAAGAGCGATAGCAAAGATCTAAAATAAACCGCTTGAAAATAGCACGAGTTGGTTGGGTCATGAGTCTTTCGTTTCCACATTGACAATTCTACGTTCTTATTTTCTGCTCACCAACTCCTCCCATTGTACACCTGCCCACTCTTCGATGTGCCCTACCTCTCCGGTCTTCGTGCCACGGGGCACGCAGTCCGACGCACAAACGCCGACAATGACCGTCCCCCACTCCATCCCTTCCAAGCTTAAATCATCCTCCTCAAGCTCTGCGATCGCATGTGGGGTCAGCTGCACCTCAAATGTCCTGCGCCCACCACAGTTGCCGCAGCCAGGGATACCTCCCTGGGACAGCTTCTGCCCCACGGGGTCCGTCTTGGAGTAGAGGAGAGGCGTGCCGCCAAACTCATATCGAATGGCTTGCTCGGGGTTTTGTGAGATTCGGTCCGCAAACTTCTGGAAGGCTGAATCCATGGTGGACTCGAACGCCTCCCGGTCAAGCGCGGAAGGCTCAGGGGCATCAGCATCTTCGATGCGAGCATTCTCAGGGAGCTTGGTCGGGGTCTGATCGAGAGTTTCGTACTCCGCATCAGCCAGGTAAAGAGTTGGGTATGGCTGGGGCTGTTCCTTAGCCTCTGGCCAAGGCTCGGGGGGTGGAGCAGGCTGAGTAGGAGGAGCGTTGATTGAAAGAGTTTCCGCGAACGATTTGGCAAGCGACTTTTCCTTCTCCTGGGTTTCGCTTGCCTTCGCAGGCTCGGCGGGTGTGTCAGGCTTTGACGAGGAGCCGAATGGGTTGCCGTTGGAGGCCGGCGAAGATGCAAATGGGTTTGCGCCACCACCACTCGAGAAGGGGTTCGCGCCACCACTCGAGAAGGGGTTCGCGCCACCACTCGAGAAGGGATTCGTAGACGCAGAGCCTCCCAACCCTTTCGCTCCAAATAAAGCTTCACCAAGTCCTGAAGTTGGAGCGTCTGGTTTTGAAGGAGTCGGTCCCGGTTTCTCTTCTGTCTTTTCTGGTTTCGGCTCCTCCTTTGTTTCGTCTTTCCAGATCCTCTGTGCCCTCAGAGCCCGAATGCTACCGTCCTTCCTACGGCATGTAGACCTGCGACAGCCGAAAACGTAGATTCGTCGCTCATGACCAGGGAAGCGCTCTGGGAGTTCTCCATTCAGCTGAAGGAGAAGCACCATTAAATCTTTGCAAACTTTGCAGCGCGCCAACGCAGCGCTTGGTGGGTGGTCGGCATCTAGCCAATCCTGGCCATGTTAATACTTGGTGACAGAAACCTTTCTATAGAATATGCTCTTACTGGTACGCCGCCTAACCGACTGATTGTGTCTTCGTCGGCTTCTTTCGAAGCATATCCGAGGAGAACATTGGTCTCCTCGAACTCCCCATCTGAGGAATCTGAGTCGTATGAAGCCATCGGTTGCTATCGAGTTTACTGATTGATGGTGGGGTTGGGATTTTTTTTCTATGTTATACAGCCCAATGCGGGGCTTATCGCCGCCGATAAGACGTTCTTTGGTGGGCTGTGTGCGGCAACCAAACAGAGGGACACGAGAGGTAATGTATTATTTTGCAACATGTGAGTAGCGTGCAACCGATTTGGAAGCAGGAAGAGTGTATCATCATTAGAATATTTGGCCATAATGACATTGAAGAGTTTTGAGATATATCCCCGATTTTGTAGCTCTTATTCTTACATGTGATCATTAGGTCCGTCCATACCTGGGCCAGGACCTCCAGCTCTACCCATCTGGCGCGCCTTCAACAATTCGTCACAGAGCAGCAGGTTAGAAGCGATGCCGGAGCTAGACGCCATGCAGTTTCTCAAGACTCGGTACGAGTCGAAGACACCTTCTAGTTCGGGGTCCATGGGCTCGCCGGTCTCGAGGTTGAGACCAACGATATCACCCTCGTTGTGCTCATCTTGGAGTTGGGCCACTGGAAATCATGTCAGCAGTTACTCAATAGAATCTCTGGATAGGGGAGTTGCTCACAAACATCCTGGACATCGTGTCCAGCATTGGCAGCCAGGGTCTTGGGAATGACGAGTAGAGCGTCAGCGAAAGCCTCAACACCATATTTAGCCTTGCCCTTGACACTATCCTTGAACTCTCCTTTCAGGTGAGTTGCGCAAGCGACCTGGAAGGCACCAGCACCAGGAACAACGCTCTTATCGACAATCATGTTGTAAACACTTCTAAGACCATCTCGTACTGCATCTGTGACTTGTGCAATAGTGTGCGCGTTAGGACCCTTGATCATGAGGGTCACTGACTTGGGATCCTTGACCTCCTCCACAAAGGTGTACTTCTCTTCTCCCAAGGTCTGCTCATAGACAAGACCTGCCCAGCCAAGAACATCTTCTGTCAGATCTTCAACGCTGTTCTGGGCAATACCTCCACAGATGAGCTGCAGACGCTCCATGTTTCTTCTCTTAGCCCTTCGGAGAGCGAGAATACCATTCTTTGCCAGGACGTCCAAGGAGAGAGGGTCGATACCCTTCTGGTTAATGACGACAAAGTTCTTCTTTCCGTCATTGCCGCAAACCTCCTTCTTCAGTTCGACGATCTTCTTCAGCTTGGCATCAACGAATCGGCGCTCGCTTTCTACCAGCTTGTCTCTTTGTTCGGCGCTGCTGTAGAAGAATCCAGAGTTGATTTCTGTCTTCTCGTACTCTAAGCTTACATTCATTGTCAGAATGTAGCAGTTCTCCAGTCGCTTTGGCATATCTGGATGTCTGGCGCCGTGGTCCAGGGCCAGACCACGGATCAGCTGAGTATCGGCGGCAGTACGGTGCTGCATCTTCATAATTTCAACCATGTGCAAATCGGGCTTGGCAGGGGCCTGGTAGATGGCCAGAACAGCATCGACAATATCGGGGGTAAGCTGAACAGCCAGTGTCGAGTTCAGTTTCGTGGCCAGAGATGTTCGTGCAACGCTGAGGAGAAGTTCTCGGTCGACCTCCTTGGGGAGCCTGAAGTCATCGAGGAACTATAGCCAAGTTAGCCTTCGCACGCCACCACCGACGTCCATTATCGGCTGCATACCTTGAGAGCCTCCACTTTGGCAATCTCGAAGCCATCGGTGATGATTCGGGGGTGAAGTCCCTCGGAAATGTGACGGTCGGCCTGCTTGAGTAGCTCTCCCACCAGCAGAACCACGGAGGTGGTTCCATCTCCGCAGATATCGTCCTGGGCTGTCGCAGCACGCGCAATCATAACGGCGGTTGGGTTTTGGATTTGCATCTCTCGCAATAGTACATTTCCGTCCTTGGTAAGCTTGATCTATATCCGCATATGTGTAAGCAACAACGAAGTTCGCTGAGGGGTTCCGGCTCCCAAAACTGACCTGGCCAGCGCCGTCGACAAGCCTACATGGTGGGTTAGTAAAGAGTAAATTCAGAAGAAAATGGTTTCTGTCTTCTTACATCTTAATCGTGCCCATAGGGCCCAGGTTGGACTTGAGCACATCTTGCAGGCCCTGGCCAGCGCTGATGTTGACCTTCAGAGCTTCGCCCCTCCTCTGTTCACGATTAGCTTCGGATTTGCTGAATATCGTCGTCTGGTAGCACGTACTCGGGACTCGGCCTTGGGGTTGAGAAGCTGTGCGGCGGACATTTTTCCTGCTGCTGTCGAATCCTAATCAAATGGATATATGCGCCGCAGTGGTGTCTGGTTCTCCTGGTGGGTTATTTCAACCTAGCCTGGTGTCAACTAACATAGGAGATGGTGGGCGGCGTAGGTGGGCTGCCACTTTTTTCTGCCCCTCTTTCAAGGCAGGCGGTGAAGCTATAGCTATCATCGACATTCCTCAACCTTCTCTCGTATTTCTACGCTAGGCCCCCATTACCTACCCAGTGGATGACAGTAGAAATAAGACACATAATGGAAGAGTTAGCTAGAAATAGACTACTTTCTACAATAAATAGAGACATTTAGTAGTATAAAATGAGATAAAGTGATGATATATACTGTTTTATCTCTAAAATATATATTATTAGCACTTAATAGTCTGATAATACCAGTCGCAGACTCGAAAATAAGCAGCTTAATGTTTGAGTGCCTCAATTTCAATGTCACCCACTTGCCAGGTCTCTACCCAAACAGACTTGCGGCAGTCTAGCGAACGCAACAATCCCCTGCGACTGACTCTTCGGAACCTTTCCCTGGTATTAAGGGAAAGAAAGATATACCATTACGAGTACTCATCTTCCTGGCTTATTAACCTTACAACAGTCACATCGTTCAGTCATCCATTGACATTTTGTTCCCTTAAATCGCACTGCGTAGTCTTCCGTGACACATGTTAAATCCATCATCCTCACAACCAACATGATTCTGTACACTCAAGAGGACTCCTTGCACTCCATGCGATGCGTCTTCCAATCCCGCTTCTGGCACTCAGCCGAGCAATACTTGACCTCCTTGCATCTTTGACATCTCTTCAAAGCGCTTCCGTCGCTAAGCTGTGTCTTGCCACAGAAACGACACCGTTCCTGAGGAGTGCCCGGAGACCCCCCTTTCTCGCCAAATGTCGACGTATCGGCTAATTCCTCCACGATAGCTGCAGCAAAAGTCGGGCTAATTGCCAGACGAACTGCTTCCGTGGCCGCAATCTCCCACTCCGGGATGTTGACGAAGTTTTCAGGCAAGTGCCCATTTCCACAAGAACACAAGAGTTGTTCACCATCTTCAAGACTCAGAGGTATAGTGGCCCCCTTCTTCTTATACTCACACTTGGCGGTATGAGACCATGTCCTGCATCGCTCGACGAATGCTGGGATGACCTTCTTCCACAAATTTAATTCTGCGTCATCTACTGTAATAGCGCAGCATTCCAGTCCCTCGAGAACCAGGAGGAAGTCTTCGATCTGGTGCGACCGAATAAGGTCATTTGTCAGTGGAATCACTGCTGCGTCAAGAACCACTGAGGCAGTGTCGCCATCCAGCCGGATTGCGGAAACCACCATGAGGATGTGATTGCCACCCCTCTCCGGGTGGCTAATGGTAAATAACCCTGTCTGGCCTCCCTGAAGACCAGATGCCAGCATAAACATCGTGAGAAGCGAGTCCTTGAAATTTGTCCTTGGGTCAGAAGAAATTCCTGTCCCAGCCCGCCTATCACGGATGTGCCTTTCTCGTGACGAAAATTGGAAGGATGTCAGCGTAGTTAACCATGACAGTTCCTTCTTTTTCTCCACATTGAGAATGGGAAGCTTGTCGAGGTTGGTATGTGGCATATTCAAAGCAGCCGGTACTCCTGATGACGAAAGGTATGAGGGGAAGACAAAATCCCCCAGACATTCCGATGACAATGGACTCGCGAATGGGGCGATGATTTCGACATATCCCGAGGTCCTCGCAACGCGTGTCTTGGCCCCTTCCTTGGAGACAGGTATAGGGAAATGTAGAGGGTAGATGTCGGACTTATTGTTACCAAAAGCAATGCTGATGGAGAAGGGGCTCGTTTGTTTCAATTCAATAGGAGCTTTATCCTTCAGAAGCTTCTTTCCCCTTTCACCTAAGAAGTCAAGATGCCCGACTAAGGATGTAATTTGAGGTTCTGAAACATTTGCCTCAATTCTCGCACCTGTCTCCCCATTCTTTCTAGTAATGGTTTTACCAAGTGGACTTACCCCGACACAACGCCCAGGGTAAGCCGTTTGTCCGGGCAAGTACCTGGAAATACGGACCGTCTTCTCATTGTTCAAGGAGGTTTCGAAGATCGACATGCTCGGCCCAAGAACAGGCCCATAAATCAAGGGGTTCTGGCCGGTAGGCGGAACAGAGAGTCCAACAACGGGTATTCCCTTCTCCGCATTAAATGATGCTGTGGGAATGTAGAACGAAGCAATAAGGGGCGACGAGCCTTCCCAACCAAGAACGTCCTGTTCTATCTCAAGGCTGTTCTCATCTGGGTCACTTGACTTGATGTCACCAAATAGAATATGAACATCGCTATACAAGTTGTGCCATTCTGAAGACTTCAGCTCAGCGACAATCGTTGGCGACGCTATTTCCAGCTGCTTTGATCCAGAAAAGAGCTTTTCAAAAGCTGTACGCGGAACGACCACCGTCACAGAAACAACTGGGGGGATGTAGTCCCACCCTTTTATTCTCATGAGTTTCGGAATGGTCGCAGGATTAATCAAGATAGACTGATGTCTTTCGACATCGTTCGTGTGAAGCTGACAACAGAAGTCTTGGAGAAAGTTGCTTGAGAGTGCGAGCGTCTTGTCGTTACCAACATTGACTATGAGCTTTTGCAACATTTCACTCCAATTAGTGGTCACCCGAGACTTGAGATACTTGAGGAAAACAGCAAAGCTACCCCTGTGGAAGCTGGAATAGGCTGCCGATCTCAAGGTTGCTCGTTTACTGTCCTCGCCTCGAAACATCTGCTTATACACGTGCAGGAGGATGTTCGCCAGAGGTTTGGCTTCGATATGAAGACTGCCCCGCTCGTCTGGGTGACCCGAGAATTGTCCGTCCTGTTTCCAGAATATACAGGCACGGTGTTGAGTCTCCCCAGGCCCCTTCCCATTTGCCGACGTCGACAAAGCAAGAAAAACCTCGTCCACGTGAGACTCTACCTTGGAATTAGTCCAATACTGGACAGCGGACAGCCCAAGAAGGAGAGATATTGTCGCTGCTGGGCCACATAGAAGTTGGTCAAATGCTTCCTCTTCAGAGCCTTCCCGTTTGAGTAAAAGTTCAGTAGAAACGGCAGACCAAGGCTCATCCTTTAGCAAAGGAGCTGTTGCTGTGAGAATGTTAAGAGCACCAAAATGATCTGACAAATTTGAAGTGTCAATCGTGTCAAACCAAGTGGGTGCCTTCTTCGCCTTCCCATAATCTCTCTCGTCAAGCTTTAGAGTTCTGCCATCCCATTGCCGTCTGAAACAGTTTGCGGATAGAGCACCCAACTTCCCAGAGGACTGAAGAGTATGGCAGAAGGAATATACATCGGACACGACAAATCGAAGGGTCAATTTTCCTCTTTTGAGCAACTTCTGAAGGGCCGAGACCCAACTTGAGAATTGGATTTGGGCTGCAACGGCGTATTTTGGTCCCTTGGCAGAAGTGGCAGTAGGGTTTAACGGTGAGTTATCGGCCAGTGCCGCATAAGCGGTTGCTAAATGAAATCCTTGGATTGGGTCTGTACCGTAATGAAGAATACCTCTTCGGGAAAGAAGTGGCGCAAACATCGGGTTGGGGATTTTTTCCGCGGACTGTCTGGGCACTGATGTTCCCTCCTCCCAATATTTCTGATGAGCCTCTGGAAGAGTTTTGTATGCCTGCAGTGAGAGGGGTGCAGCCGAGCGGATGCCGGTAAGAATAATTCCGTGGCCGCCAGTTTGACCGGAGGCTTGGAGCATGAGAGACTTGGACTGTTCGATGCCATTTGAAAGACTCTCCAGGTTGCCGTTTCCTTCGGAGATTCTCTTGCAGATACCACGAACATCATCGACGGTGTCCTGGTCACAAAACCTAACCACGGAACCGTATGCACTGGCGTTCCAAGACGTCGTAGATTGTAGGAGGGGGACGAGCTTGGTAGCCTGGTCTTTGACCACTGTGGCGGTGGCATCGCTGACATAAAGGTGATAGTATATCCCCCAAAGCGATTTTAAAGGTCCATCATGCCCGTCGATAATGAACGAAAGGAGTATAATGTTTCTCCCTAAAACTGGATGAGAAAAAGAACCAAAGATGGAGAATACAGACAAGCATTCGCAAACCTATTATCTTCTCATCAATGTCGCAGAAAGTGAAATCCAAGTTCCTCTCAGCTGGAAATTGTGTTAGTTTTGTATTGTCAACAGTTTGACCCATCAGCAAAGTACTCACGCAGCCCATCCTCAATATATGCAGTATAAAGAAGATTCCTTAGGTCGCCACAGCCAAGAGACAAGGCCGAGGCATCCTGACCGTGAGGAACTGACCTTGCCAAGTTGATGGCGGGGGTGTTTCCAACAGCATAGAAAAAGCTGAAATGGTTGGCGACTGTTGGTGTCAACATTTTTCTTGTCGGCTCCTCTTATGTCAACTGATTGATACTGCTTTCTAGTGGCTCATCGCTGAAATTTCTCAAGGGCGGATAGCAAAAGAAAATTGAAAGATGATAAGAGGCCCAATTGTTTGTGACACAAACACCAAGTGCCTTGTAGGGATAGAGATGGGCCCAAGGCGGTGAGATACAGCGCACTACATTGATAGGTACAGTGCAGCCACAGCGAGTGTCCCAGTAATCCCCCAACACACATGTGGGGGACAGAAGAGTGAGATCGAATTAGAGGTCGATTATGAACAGACCGTTTTGCATAGACTAATTCATTAAACAAGAGCAATACAATACAATTATCAGGTGTAAAGTGAGGTACTTGGCTCTTCACTCGTACAGGTCCGTCTGCTCCGAATGTTTAAATAGCATACAGGGAGAATTTCACAATGCGGTGCGATGTGGCCGGTTGGATCTTGCCAGGATACATTTCATAGTCGTTCATGTCACTCGATGTTTTCCATATCAATTGGATCTGTAGTTGATGAAAGGTGGTTCATATTCTCTATAAAGCAAAGACTCAATCAAAACTCCAGCTGCCCGCTCGAGGGGAGAGTCAAGAGACGAGCTCGTGCTCTCCTCCTTCTCGGCTGCTACGCCACGCCTTTGCTTTCCCATAAAAATCAGAAAGTGACCACCAGCATCGAGAACATTCTGATGAGACGGGGTCCTTTGTATTCCCGTCTATCCCAAAACATGCAAATCGCAAACAATTGTTTCCCCTTTTTTCCAGTTGATACTATACAGAAATTGTCGCCAGAAGAAAAAAATAACCGCTGTCCCTTTTTAATCAAGGCCTGACGCCGCAAAATTATGGCCAAGAACAAAAATCAACCAGAAGATCAGACATAAGTGTCGTAACGTAAGACTCCTTTGCCCAAAGAGAAAAAAAGATATCCAAGCCCAGATAGCCAGTTCTAATTAATCCAGATTAAGTCGGTGTATATTGTTAGCAAGGTGTTGTGCTGTGATCGCTCATGAGGTGCCGAAGAAAAGGTCGTCGTTGTCAACAAACATATCGCTCGTGCTGCCAAACTCGTCGTCAAACTTGCTGAGCATCATCATATTGGGATCCCGGTCCAGAGGGACAATTCCTTCATCGTGGCTAAACGACAAAAGAAGGTTTGAATCTTGGTCGCCAAACGGAAGGGGAATCGTGCCATCGAGGCTTGCTGAGCTCAAAATACTGCTGCTTGCCGTCAAGGTAGCAACGTCATCAGGGCCGCATGATGTGTTGGCTTCGAAGTCGCACAAACGTGCAGGAGGAGGTGACGATGACTGCGAGAGCTCAGGAGGAGTGTTGTAGGTGCTGGCAACGCTCTTGGATGGTGATACTGGGCGGGAATGGATCTTTTCCATGATGGCTTCGGGTGAGACGTAGGAGTGAGGCGTGTCAACAGAAGGAGACGGCATCACGTCGTTGGGTATTTGGCTTGTCACCGAAGGCATGAGTGCTGATGAGCTTGAGGCCATTTGTTGAGGCTGTGAGTCGAGGCCCAGGTCGAGCATATCATCAAGCATATCCAGATCATTGTCCGGAGAATTGGCTGCTGAGCTGTCCGTATATCCCGATTGTGAGGAGACAGAGCTCACAGACAGGTTCTTCCTTCTTTGCCTCGCCGACTTGGTGGTCCTTTCTTCCATGTCCGGACGATTCTTCTTGGGTCGACCGCGCTTTACCACCTTCCTGACAATACCATCAAAAGCACCGATGCACATGCCGCGCTGCCTGTGCCTGGTCAAGGCGTCGTGTCTAGCAAAGCTGTTTCCACACTCGCAGGGGTATGGCTTGATTCCAGTATGGATCTTGGCATGGCGCTTTAAATCGTGCTGGCGAACGAAGCATTTCTTGCATGTAGGGCACTGATACTGGCGATCGTTCAGATGAGTCTGAACGTGAGACTTGATGTTCTCCTTGCGGCCGAACTTCTTGCCACAGCCCTCATAAACGCAGGTCCATTTGCCGTCATTTAAATCGGGTCCACAGATGAACTGAGCAATGTCATCAACCGTCACTCCAGTCTCGGTCTTGGTCTCTTCAATGTTGATGCTTGCGATGCTAGCAGCGCTGGCAATGCTTGCAAGAGACTCAGTTCGTCGATGGTGCGAACTACGGTGGACTGGCGACTGGGAAGGGGCAGCTGAATGGGGAGTGCTTTGAAGGGAGCTGAGTTGAGCACTGTCAAAAGAAGCTGAGAACTGGGCTCTGTGGGGAGTGCTGGGCGTGGAGCTGTGGACGGATGGTGGCCCACCAATAATGGCACCGGAGACGAGTCCATCAAAGGAAGCTTGCATATTCAGGAACTCTTCCTCGCTGAATTCATTGGCCGGGTAGATGGGGCCCTGCATCTGAGAGACTGGAAATGACGCGGACCTGGCAGAGCTTGGCTGTTCAGATTGCGTCTCTGCTTCTTGTCGCATATCTTGGAAGATGGACTGCGTTCCAAGGTTGGAACGAGCCCTGACTGGCTTGATGGTCTCTTCCAAAGACTCATCATAACCTTCAGTGAACCGGTTGGGCACAGGCTCCTGCTTGCACATACGGTCATGTGGAGTATCTGTAGGGGTTGGGGGGAAATAGTCTTCGAAGGTTAGAGCTGCTTCTCTTTACGCATCATCATCAGAAGAGGAAGACTCACTATTTGCGTCTGCATGTGGGGGTGTGATTGGTCTTGGTACGTTGTCCAAACCCAGATTCTCGAACTTGGAGACACGGTCCATGATGCCGTTGCTGATTCTTCGAGAGGACCTTCTTGTACTTGAGGTCTCGCCCTCGGAGATCCAACCGGGTGCGGAAGGACTCTCTGCGAAGTTCATAAATGTGGGTGTAGAGAGAGCACTATCTGTGGTAAAGAGCTCAAAGTCTTTCGATACATTCATGTTTTGGCCAAAGCTAGCTTGGTTCTGCATGAATGTCTGCATATGCTCACCGTAGGGGTCAAATGGAATTGATCCAGGGTCGAGGCATGATGGATCGAATCTTTGAGCATGGGGGGTGCCATGGGGAGACACCAGATAGCTGTCACTGCTGCTGTGAGGTAGTTGGGGGTGAGAGTAGAGGTTGTGCTGGGGGCCCGGGCGTGCTTGAATGCGTTGCTGCTGCGCTTCTCGCAGTACATGATGCTGCGGAATATTTGCAAGTCCTGTATTGTTAGTATGTGTACTTACCACGTAATCCTGTCTGATGTTAGCTGGTGCCGCATGTTGTCTCCTAATGTCGAGGCTCATGCCACGGCGGTGGCCGGCTGCTCTACGTTGGGCGGCACTCTGCAGGGTCGGGACCTTCACGGTGTCGAAAGGGGCAGAGGGTGTCGAGTTCTGGCGGCGGTGGTGTTGCCTCTGCCCAGCGTGAGGTTTTGTTGGTGAATTGGACAGCATTTTGTCGCAAGGGAGTCCGGTTGTCGTTGTCGTCGGTCGAATTGTTGTCGAATGGGAACCTGTAGGTCCGAAACTGTATTCGCATTGTCTGTTAGCTGCAGCTGTTCAGAGCATCCAGGAGACAAAGCATCACGCCTCTTACCTCACGCAGCGCAAGCACAGGGCGCCGGGCTAGAAGGGATTGCGGTCGTCTCAGTCGGCAGTGACTGCGATGTTAACCTCTAGAGATGGTATGTGCCTTATTCAGGCGGGATGGTTGTGATGGTTGGAAAGCTCTTAGTCTTTCAACGTTCTTTGTCCCCGATGAACGGGAATCAAATGCTCAGGTGCGATACTCTCTTGAAGACGCCGGAAATAGCTATCAGAGAAGTTCGTTCGCGAGTGTGGATTCAAGATGCAGACAGACCCTTTTGGCCCAAGAGGCCAAGGCATTCGGGTCTGGCGCATTGTTGACGCCGTCACCACAGCAACGGAGCTGGCGGCTAGGCGACAAGGGATCGCACCACTCAACAACGTCACCCCTGGCCGACTTGCCTTGTATGGCAAGACATTTAATTGAGTTTGGCTGTCTCGACTTGGTCATAGCTGTCTCAAACCGCTGTGGTTGGACCAGCACCGCCGGTCCGCCGCTGGCAGCAAGGTCATCACATGGGGACTTGGCTAATGACATTGCTGATGCCGTCTACACCACGGCTTCTTCACTCGGCCCTAGTACACGTACAAAGCTGATTTGACGTGTGGATGCATCACATGTCGTATTTGAATCGCAATCTGAAGCGGCAAACATTGGGAACCCGATCTGGGACCTACGCTGTATGTATAGCAAATGTGTTTAGGTTTCATATCCTGCCGGGTTCCGCAGTTCAGACACACGGCAGAGGTCATAATGAGCAAACCACTCGTTTCTGGTGTTTTGATTTTTTGTGCAAGTCAGCATCCGACGTACGAGCTTACATTGATGAATGTGCCGTCGGGTCATTGGATCCGTGCGCATGACGTTTTGTTTCATTGACTCTCTGGCGGGACAACCGACGGACGCCACAGCGACCTTTTCGCCGCCGTTCAAAACGGTGCTGGCGGGGGCTGCTCTGCAAACAAAACAAACGGCATTCTTGGGTGCAAGAATGATAGTATTCACTTGTCTGAAATCGGTAGTTTCCCTCAACTGTGCGTTCATTGGGTGGGAGCCCGGGGCCAGCGGTTACTCGACTGTTTTGACAAGATATGCGCAAGCTGTGTTGTGTTCACGTGCTGCCTTTAATAATTGTCAGGAAAGACAACAAAAAAAAAAAAAAAAAAAATGTGTTAATGCAGCCAGCCCTGCCTACCTTACCCAAGCCCCAAGCTCGAATGAACCACAGTCGATCGGGGAATAGCTTCAGCGACGTCGGTGGATCCAATGGTGTGCATGCGTACAGGTAGCAGCCGGTAAGAGGACCGGGCTCTTCGTCTGATGATGGCGATCCGGGATCGTGCCTCGTGCGCTTCCACATCAAATCTTTTTCGTCTCGCTCAGCCCAGTCCTTGCCACTTGATCTTACGGGCTCCCATTTCCTATTATTATCTCGGAGGAATTCGTATGTTGCTCGCCAGAACGTATGAATGACCTGATCTTCAGTGGTTGTTGGGTGATGCTGCTCCGGCGCGTGGTCAGTGCGCAGGTCTCCTTGGCGACGTCTGACCAACCAGCGGGCGCCAAACAAAATGACCCAGCCGGTGGTGTCGGGTGTGGTCAACGCGATATCTGCCGAGTGAGTGAGTAGAGCAGCTCCATCTGAACTGCCCTCCCTCCTCTGCACCGGGGTCCGCTCTGCTTTAAGACAAACCTGCCTCTGTGCACCTGCCTATTGGCTGCGTCGTTTTTCACTTGGGCTTCCTTTTCCTACTTCTCCAGGATTTCAAGATTTGGCTGGTTCATCGTCTGTCTAGCCAGCCCAAGCTTGCTCCCTTAGCTTGGCCTTCCCTTGGTGTTTCTGCTCGACAATTTCTAGACCGCAAAAATGTCTTCTGGCAATGCCGCCGCCGGGGGCACTATGCGAGGCACCCCCAATCGCGACCGACGAGGCCAAATTCCCTTTCAAAATAGCCCCGGTGGATCAGGTATCCCTCGTCCTGTCCTCGACGAGAAGCCCGCCGAAGTCACATCTTCTGTCAGTGCAAGCAGGCAGAAGCAATCGAAAAGAGATGAGGTGCGTAGTAGTGCCCTGAGCTCGAACTCCACCCAAACTCCCCTCCCCCTCTATCCAGATGATGCCTCACCCAAAAATGCAATTGGCTTGCCACCAAGCACCGTAGCTAACCAAACCTTGAACCAGGCTATTCGCCGAAAGCTGGAGAATGATCTCTCCAAGAAGAAGCATCTCAACGCACGGGCTCGCCACACCCGGAAAGCACCCCCCGGCACTGTTCTCGCTCTGAAGCCCAGCCCTGCCCTGCAGATCAAGCCCGGTACCACGGTATCTGAGGCAGCTCAGCTTATGGCCGCAAAGCGCGAGGACTGCGTTCTTGTTACAGACGAGGATGATCGCATCGCTGGTATCTTTACGGCCAAGGACCTGGCTTTCAGAGTTGTCGGTGCCGGTTCCAAGGCCTCCAACGTCACCATTGCCGACATCATGACCAAGAACCCTCTCTGCGCACGAACCGACACGAGTGCTACCGATGCGTTGGACCTCATGGTTCGCAAGGGATTCCGTCATTTGCCAGTTATGGACGAAAATCAAGATATTTCCGGTATTCTGGATATCACCAAGTGCTTTTACGATGCCATGGAGAAGCTGGAGCGTGCCTACTCTTCGTCCCGCAAACTTTACGACGCTTTGGAGGGTGTGCAATCCGAGCTTGGCGCCAGCCAGCCCCAGCAGATTATTCAATATGTCGAAGCTCTTCGTACCAAGATGTCCGGCCCTACTCTCGAGTCGGTTCTGGACGGCACACCACCTACGACTGTGAGCGTCAGGACATCCGTTAAGGATGCAGCGGCTTTGATGAGGGAGAACCACACAACTGCAGTATTAGTGCAGGACCAAGGTGCTATTACTGGCATTTTTACCAGCAAAGACGTTGTCCTGAGGGTCATCGCCCCTGGCCTTGATCCCACGAACTGTAGCGTGGTCCGCGTGATGACCCCTCATCCCGACTTTGCTCCTATGGACATGACAATTCAGGCTGCCCTTCGAAAGATGCATGGTGAGCATACCTTTTGATTGAACTTTCTGGTTTCAAATACTAACCTACTCTGCTAGATGGCCACTACCTCAATCTTCCCGTGATGAACGATGGCGGCGAGATCGTTGGCATGGTTGATGTGTTGAAGTTGACCTACGCTACTTTGGAACAGATTAACACCATGGCCACTGGTGATGGTGAGGGCCCTGCATGGAATAAGTTCTGGTTGTCCATGGACAATGAGACGGAGTCCATGGTATCAGGTGATGGAAGCCAAAGCCACCGTCACACTAACCTTGGCTCGCGGATGATGTCGCCTGATATGACTCGGGATAGTGTTGCGCCAGGAGATTCTGCCTCTCATGTTGGAATGGAGTCGCCAATTCGGTCTGCTCTTCCTGATGTCCCAGAACATTTCCCTGGCGAAATCCCCTTCCCTTTCAAATTCAAAGCTCCTTCTGGGCGTGTCCACCGTCTACAGGTCATTGCTTCCCAAGGAATCGAGGCACTTGTGGCTACTGTGGCTTCCAAGCTCGGCAACGAGGTTGAGGGCATCGGCGGTGTCCCAACAGTCGAAGAAGGCAAGCTACACGGGGCAGGTTTTGCTCTAAGCTACGCCGACAGTGATGGCGATACCGTTTCAATCACAACTGATAATGACCTGCTGGAGGCCATTCTGCTGGCCCGTCAAGGACACCGAGACAAGGTTGATCTCTTTGTCCATGATCCTGACAAGCCACCAGTTATTCCATTGGCTACATCTCTTCATGAGACCAACGCAATTCCAACACCCCCTGCATCCTCTGCAGTTGGTATCCGTGAACGTCGTAGTAGAATATATGTGGACGATGATGATGACGATGAAGACTACGACGATGAGGCATCCACAATTCACCGCCGGCGAAGAGCAAGAAATGCTCCTTTGCAAGATCAGGTCATCGCAGGGGTTCCAAACGAGCTCCTCCTTCCCGGTGCTATCGTCACTTTAGCAGCTGTTATAGTTGGTGTCTTCACCATCTCCAGGATTACGTCCCGATAAGTGGTGTTATGTATAGTAGCTACTTAATGAATGAGCCATTTCTCATTGGCGCCGCAAGTGCGTAGAATGGCCGGGTCTAATTATTCGTATTTGTAAATAGTTTTTTTATAGCAATTCCAAAAAAGCGCTCTTTTACTTCACCAAACGAGTGGAAATCCTTGATTGTTGTGCAAGACGTAGCCAAAACCAAGCCCGAAATTTATTATTAAAGATGTCCAAAGTGATTGAAAGCTCTGTGGGAAGCTTTGTGGTTCGTTTGTAAATCGCCGGCCCGGAAAAAGTTGGGCTCCACTTAGCCAATTCGTTCTCTCAAATTTCTCCCCCGATGCATCATACAGCAGCATCCAGCATCAATCGCACCACCATGATAGTAAGAAACGCTGCAGCGCGGCATGGTAAGTTCATGTACATGTATGTTTCTATTGAGCGTGTTGTTAATTGAGTCATCAGGCCGCCGCGCGCTGGGGAGCCCAATTTCACGATCAACCCTGCGACAACTCTCATCGGAGAGCGTACCAACCGAGCCTGCTGTTGCCACGCCACCGCCCAAGTCTCAATTTCCCGCTGATCACATGAAGGACAATTCCCTTGTGATGTCGTCGAAGCAGTTAAAGATGTGGAAGGCCAAGGATACTATCATGACCCTAGGTGCTAACTCGACGCCCACACACGAGGGCCAGTCGTGGACAAGGTCTCGTAAGATGGGGGGTTCCGAGGAGCTTACGTCCTGGGATCAATGGGTCGAGTTTCGAAAAATCCGGGCCAAAACCAAGAAGCTGGGATCGATAGTGAA